TCTTTTTTTCTCTTCTATAAAAAGTGAGGATGAGAGGATCTGCTTCATACTACATATGAAATGCTCATAACAGTGCCTGGCATGTGGTAGGATGCTCACTAAATATTAGCTACAGGATTGCTGTTCTATGTAGCTAGCTCCCTGGAATGTGCAGTGCATAGTCTGCATAACTGCCTGCTGCAGCTCTGGTTAGCTGCCATTATTGTTATCATTATTATTATCCCTTTACTCTTCTCCAGTAGGCCAGTTCTTACCATTTGGAATTATAATCATTGGCTTTTGTTTTCCCATCTTTATTAGTGATGTTCAGTGTGGTAATTGTATTTAAAGGTAACTCAAAATAAATTTGAGTCAGAAATCCAGAAACAATCATTTTTATTTTTAGATGATACACATTTTAAAAAGTATCCTGGATAATGAATTAATACTGATCAATAAATTCATTACTGAGAAAGAAGAAACTGCCTTATCTTCTTTTATCACTGTTAATAAGGAGTAATATTTTGTTTTTCACACCTGTACTTTACATCCTGCTCTTTGGACCTGATTGTACTATACAGAATTGAGAAATTCATTGACTTGGAATTTACCATCACCATTTGGGGAATAAAAGATGCAGTTTTAATATGAATAAATCAGTATTTTAGTAAAAGAACACTATTTCAACATAGGCACTGATATTTTACTTTTAAATGTAGAAGGATTTTAATATGTTTTGGGGGTGGGGTGGGGAAAGCTTTTTTCAGTTTGGTCTAAATTGTGACTAAAACAGAAAAATCACCAAAAGGGAAAGAGAGGTATCAATCAATGTGCTCCAACTGAGCAAATGCACTATGTTTGAATACAGTGTTGTCCCCCTAACTGGAAGGGTTAGTGTTCTAAAAACCCTACAGGTGGTTGAGGGATTTTAAGACATTTTCTTCGTTCAGCAGATACTTCTTGAACTCTTATTACCAAAAACTGTGCTTAGCAACTTGGAAAAACTGAATTGAGGGAACTACGTTTTTAAGTTTTTCACATTCACTTAAAACAGTAAATTTGGGGTATAAAAGACTGATGGCAATGTTACTTTTAACCATCTCTTGTGTACTAGAAACTTCAGGATCTTCCCACAATGTCAAACATATGTTTGTAATTTTCTTGTAGGTAATATGCCTAATACTAGGTTCTTTGAACCCCTGTTTCTCCATCCAAGTGTTTTTCTGATTGTATGGTTCTAGAAATGAACTCTTTAAACTAGGATGGAAAAAACTTTGGGTAGCATTTATTTAAGACAACTGGCATAGCTAAGTTGGTCAATTTCAAGTGTGATTACAATGCACAGGGTTATATATATTGTCATTCCTCATACAATTATGTGGTGCCCTGATATAAGCTGCTAGCACCTTAATGCACATCTCTGCTCCCGCCCTCCTGACCAGTGACTGTGGCATGCAGTTCTAAGGCCCTAGTTTACATTCCTTAACGTCCTTCTCTTTTCTGGATCCTACTTTAATTCCCTTTTCCTAGATGCAGGTGACACACTTTGGTTAGTCTGGACCCCAAATCCTTGTATTTCAGGAAAAAGAGTGCAATAAAGCCATGAATAATGGAGTTTTTGTATACGGGTAACCCAGAGGGAGAAGGGTTACTGGACAAACACTCCCCTACCTCACATACATTAGCCACCCAATTAATTCTAGAATATCCTGGAGATCAAAGTTGACCTAGAGACAAGGAGCCAGGATTCTTGCTGCTACTATGTGGAATTAAAGTGCAACTTGTCAGTCCCTCTCAACAAAAGCCATTGAGCACAAACTGGGTAATAAGGCTAGACTCAAAGATTTGGTTAGCATTTCCTGAGTCCCTACCATACGCCAAGCACTGTTCATAGGAGAATTAATTCATCAGTATCCACAAGGAGTTCACTCCACAAGGAGAGAGAGCCATCTTAAAGAATTACAGTGCTGCGTGTTAAGGTGTTAGAACTGTGCACTGTATACTATGAAATACACAAAGTGAGGGGACTACAGGCTGGGAAAATCACTGCTTTCCTGACCCCCAACTCCACACCCAGCATAGGACAGCTAGGCCAGTCAGGGCACCCTGTCCTTGGGAACATTCAACTCTAGTCACGATTAATCATGTCATTGGTTGTTAATGTCTTTGTTCTCCAGTAGAATGTAAACCTCATCAGGATAGGGAATGTACTTTATTCCCCCTTGTCTTGTGCACCACTGTTTTGTCATTGCAGCTTCACATGCTTGACACTTAACAGGCATGCCATAAATATGTGTATGGATAAATATGAGAATAAATGGGACAGACATTGAGCCTGGCTTTAAGGAGAAATTTGTTAGTCTATGAGGTTGGCATCACAGGTAATAATTAGAATGTAAAGCACCTCGCAGTTTATCAGAAAAGGTGAGTATTTGGGTGAAAGCGGCAGGACGGAGGCTGTTAAAGACTCATCAGACACTGTAGCTGACTGCTGGATTGGGGTGGGGAGGGGGGCAGGAAAGCTAGATATGTACCAGAGAAGTTTCGGGATTTTTTAAACTACGTTTCTTTTGTAACTTAGTTCTTTACCTATCGACTAATTTTGGGAATTCTGAATGGCTATAGCTTAAAGATATAGCTTAAAGATATAGCGGTTTGAGTTATTTCTACCCTTTTTTTCTCCTTGGGAGTGACACTCCCCAAGGGACAAAAGGACTGAAACTCCAAGTTCTCTAAAATACTGGGAGGGAAAGATGAGAAGATGCTCGAGGCAATAGTTGCCGGCCAGAGGCGCGGTTCCCCGGACAGCTGACTCGCACGCTGACCCACTCCGCAGGTCCCCTCCACTCCGCCCGGCCCCGCCCCGCCGCGCTGCGTCAGGAGGGTCACGTAGCCTGCGCCCCGCGCCCTGATTGGCTGCGTTGGGGGCTCTAGGGTTGTGGGTTCCGCGAAGCGGGGCCGGAGCTGCTGAGGGGAATTGGCCGGCGGCTAGGGACCCTGGCCCCTGTTCCCAGGCCTCGGGAGGACGCCAGGCCGCGGGGAGCCTCGGCCTGGGGAGGTGGGGAGGACGGAGCCAGAGACCCGGAACTCGCCCCTTGTGCAGAGTGGACGCCGACAGGTGAGTCGCCCCGGTCCTGCGCCCCTGGGGGTGATCGTCCCCAGCCGCAGAGCGGCTGAGAGGCTGGGGTCGGGAGCTGCCCACCGTGAAGCCAGACTTCCCGCAAGCTGCTCAGCTCCGCCTGGCTGGCTCGGGAGCTCGGTGGACGCTGGGGCGCCGCAGGTCGGAAGTTTCTCTGGATATGGGCGCAGGCCCCACATGATGGATGTGCGGCTTTCGATCGCTCCCCCGTATCCTCTGCTTTGGGCCCTCGCTTTTCCTTTCTTAGAAACATTGGGGTTAATTTGAAACTGTCAGCAGGTCGTACATATTATAAAAGTAGAAGTTGGGGCTTCCCTGGTGGTGCAGTGGTTGAGAGTCCGCCTGCCGATGCAGGGGACACGGGTTCGTGCCCCGGTCTGGGAGGATCCCACATGCCGCGGAGCGGCTGGGCCCTTGAGCCATGGCCGCTGGGCCTGCGCGTCCGGAGCCTGTGCTCCGCAACGGGAGAGGCCACAGCTGTGAGAGGCCCGCGTACCGCAAAAAAAAAAAAAAAGTAAAAAAAGTGTAAGTTAACTCAATTACTGGTGTTCGTCGAGGGGACCGTGTTATGAAAATTGTGCATATTACAGAAGTGGGTTTCACTCCTCAAAAACGCTTAAGAAACATGAAGTATCAAAATAAACCACGTTGTGATTTAGAAAACATTTACCTGGATCATTGCTATGTGCAGAGCACAGAGCTAAGAGCAGGACTCAGCTAAGCTGTTGGGTTTGAATCCAAGGTCTGCCCTTTATTAGCTGACCAACCTTGGGCTACTTGACGGGCATCTGTTAACTCATCTTTAAAATGGGTTGCTGTGATGGTTTAATGAGTTTCTGAATGCTTTGTGATTTATGGTATTAATTAATTTAACCTTCACAATCACCCAGGATGTAATCTTCACGAACACCTAGTGATGCCATTTTCCTGGTGCTTAAACTGAGGCACAGAGAGGTGAAGTGACTTCCTCAAGTCACAAAACAACTAATGACCAGGAATTAAGCCCAGGCAGCCCACAGCTTTACCCACTAACATTATGTTGTAGTGAAGTTGGTTTGTCATTGAGTTTCAGTTGACAGATACTGATTTTGTTTCTGTGGACCAAGTTCTTTGCTGGGTACAGGGGATAAAGTAGAAGAGCACGCAGACCCTGCTTTCCAGGTGCTTGCAATCTGGTGCAGGTTGTTCATAGACTGCAGGGTGCTCATGAACCCTGCTAAAGTCTTTTGCAAAATGTGAGTATGGGTCCTTTTCTGGAAAAGAGAAGGAGTGTGGCCCACACTGTGTTCTCTGCTGGGTCTGTGATTCAAAGGTATGAAGAAACATTTTAGCAGAAAAGCTAGTATCTAGCATAATGCCTGACACACAGAATGAGCCAAACAAAAAAAAACAAAAACACTGGTTGAATGAATGAAGAACTTACAGGAGTATAAGTGCCACAGTAGGGTCAAGAGCAGGGTGCTGTGGAAGAGCACACATGAAAGTCACGGGCCCAGGAATGCCTCCTAGAGTCAGCAGTGCCAGCCAGGTGAAAGGTAGGGAAGCAATTCATTGGAACATGGCAGTTAACGTTTCTGCCCTCATGGAGGGTGAGACAGAAACCACACATGAACAGCTGCAGCTATGACAAGTGGCACATAGGAACAGTCCATGGTGATAAGAGAACCTGTCAGGGGGACAGGAAGCCTCATCTATTCATGAAGGGCAGGGAACTTTCCCTGAGAAAGTGACACTTAAACCTAGGAGTTAGGAGCATTGCAGGCATGGGGGGTAGCCCTCAGTCTTCAGAGACCCTGTGATGGGAACAGGTAAAGCACCAGGGGCAGAAAGGAAGCTGGTGCAGCTGGTGCAGCTGGTGTAGGCAGAGGGGGACAGGAGATTTGGGTGGTGACAAAGCCTAAGACAAAGAGGCCTTGAAGGCCATGGTAAGGCTTTTTTACTTTATGTCTTTATCCTAAAGTGCCATCGAAAAGTTTATTGCAGGGAGGTGACAAGATCACATTTTGAGAAGAAGCTGGAAAGAAGCCCAAGTGGATTAAGAAGCCCCCGGATGAGGACAGGATCTCTGGGGAGAAACTCTAAGGTAAGAAGAGGAGAGGCCTAGAACCAAGCCTTGGAGATGAGCCTGCAGAGGAGACAACTAAAGGACAGTCACAAGTGTAGGAAGGAAGGAGGAGAACCAGGGGAGTGGGAGGTTTGGGAGTCAGGTATGAGTATTTCACAGAGAAAGTGGTCACCTGTGCTGAAAACTGCCGGTGTCAAAGAGGAACTAAAACTACTCATTGGCTTTAATCACATGAAAGTTGTCTTTATGGGAAGTTGTATACATAGGAAGAGAGGAAATAGAAAGAAAGGAGCTGCAAGAATTAACCTGAGGGGAAGAGAAAAACGGGATTTTAGTTGGAGGGGCAGTGAGAGAAAGAGCCACTGAGGTGAAGGGTGGGAACCTCAGAGAGGAGGATGCAGCTGAAGGAGTGAATACATGAGAAAGAAGGGGTCTAGACACTTCAGGCCAGAGAGGCTGGGATCAGCACAGGAGCAGGAATTACCCTGGATGATGCAAGATGTCATTGTAGGGAAGGGGAGATAGCAGAAGGTTTATGTTTGGTATGATGAATTGCACTCCTTTCTTTGTACAAGTTAGAGGCAAGGATATTGGCTGAGAGTGAAGGAGAGAGTGGGTGTCAGGGGAAGCTGGAGGTCTGAGTTGAGAAGATTTGACATAGTTGTTGGGGGATGTGAAAGAGTGAGTTGACCAGAGATTGTTTTAGGATGGTCTGGCAGAGGGAGCCAAGTATGCAGCAAAGGCCGGAAATTAGCCACCTGGCTCATTCAGGGAATTGCAAAAATAGTAGGGGAGTGAGGACGGAGGCGAGCTAGAAACAGAAACTACATTTAATACAGTATAACAAAGGGGGCATCACAAATCATGGGGAAGGAAAGGATTGTTCAAACATGGTGCTTAGAGATAGCTAACCTATTGATAAAATCTATTTACATTCTTAGCTCACAATGAGAAATTTCAAATGAATTACAGGAGCTAGCTTTTAAAATTCAAACAAAGGTCAGGCGCCTTCAATGTGGCAGAGGAGTAAGACACGGAGATCACCTTCCTCCCCACAAATACATCAAAACTACATCTACATGTGGAACAGCTCCTACAGAACACCTACTGAATGCTGGCAGAAGACCTCAGACCTCCCAAAAGGCAAGAAACTCCCCACGTACGTGGGTAGGGCAAAAGAAAAAAGGAAAAACAGAGACAAAAGAACAGGGACGGGACCTGAACCTCGGGGAGGGAGCTGTGAAGGAGGAAAAGTTTCCACACACTAAGAAGCCCCTTCACTGGTGGAGATGGGGGGTGGGCACGGGGGGAGCTTTGGAGCCACAGAGGAGAGCACAGCAATAGGGGTGCAGAGGGCAAAGCGGAGAGATTCCCACACAGAGGATCGGTGCCAACTCTCACCAGCCTGAGAGGGTTGTCCACTCACCCGCTGGGGTGGGCGGGGGCTGGGAGCTGAGGCTTGAGCTTTGGCGTTCAGATCCCAGGGAGAGGACTGGGGTTGGCTGCGTGAACACAGCCTGAAGGGGGCTAGTGTGCCACAGCTAGCCGGCAGGGAGTCTGGGAAAAAGTCTGGAACTGCCTAAGAGGCAAGAGACCATTGTTTTAGGGTGCGTGAAGAGAGGGGATTCAGAGCACCGCCTAAATGAGCTCCAGAGACGGGCGCGAGTCGCGGCCATCAGCACGGACATCAGAGACAGGCATGAAACGCTGGGCTGCTGCTGCTACAGCCACCAAAAATCCTGTGTGCAAGCACAGGTCACTATCCATACCTCCCCTCCCGGGAGCCTGTGCAGCCCGCCACTGCCAGGGTCCCGTGATCCAGGGACAACTTCCCTGGGAGAACACATGGCATGCTTCAGGCTGTTGCAGTGTTACGCCGGCCTCTGCCACTGCAGGCTCGCCCCACATTCCATACCCCTTCCTCCCCCCCAGCCTGAGCGAGCCAGAGCCCCCTAATCAGCTGCTCCTTTAACCCCATCCTGCGTGAAGGACAGACGCCCTCAGGCAACCTACACACAGAGGTGGGGCCAAATCCAAAGCTGAACCCCAGGAGCTGTGCAAACAAAGGAGAGAAAGGGAAATCTCTCCCAGCAGCCTCAGGAGCAGTGGATTAAATCTCAAGTGCACATGGAACATTCTCCAGGGTAGATCATATCTTGGGTCACAAATCAAGCCTTGGTAAATTTAAGAAAATTGAAATCGTATCAAGTATCATTTCTGACCACAACGCTGAGACTAGATATCAATTACAGGAAAAAATCTGTAAAAGATACAAACACATGGGAGGCTAAATAATATACTACTAAATAATGAAGAGATCACTGAAGAAATCAAAGAGGACATCAAAAAATACCTAGAAATAAATGACAATGAAAACACAATGACCCAAAACCTCTGGGATCCAGCAAAAGCAGTTCTAAGAGGGAAGTTTATAGCAATACAATCCTACCTCAAGAAACAAGAAATGGGACTTCCCTGGTAGCATAGTGGTTAAGAATCCACCTGCCAATCCAGGGGACACGGGTTTGAGCCCTGGCTCGGGAAGACCGCACATGCTGCAGAGCAACTAAGCCTGTATGCCACAACTACTAAGCCTGCTCTCTAGAGTCCGCAAGCTACAACTACTGAATCCCATGCGCCTGGAGTCCATGCTTCATGACCAGAGAAGCCACCGCAATGAAAAGCCCGCACACCACAATGAAGAGTAGCCCCCCGCTTGCCACACTAGAAAAAGCTGGCACGCAGCAACGAAGACCCAAAGCAGCCAAAAACAGAAAGAAACAAGAAACATCTCAAATAAACAACCTAACCTTACACCTAAAGCAATTAGAGAAGAACAAAAAAAACCCCAAAGTTAGCAGAAGGAAAGAAATCATAAAGATCAGATCAGAAATAAGTGAAAGAGAAATGAAGGAAACGATAACAAAGATCAATAAATCTAAAAGCTGGATCTTTGAGAAGATAAACAAAATTGATAAACCGTTAGCCAGACTCATCAAGTAAACAAGGGAGAAGACTCAAATCAACAGAATTAGAAATGAAAAAGGAGAAATAACAACTGACAATGCAGAAATACAAAGGATCATGAGAGATTACTATAAGCAACTATATGCCAATAAAATGGACAACCTGGAAGAAATGGACAAATTCTTAGAAAAGAACAGCCTTCTGAGACTGAACCAGGAAGAAATATAAAATATAAACAGACCTATCACAAGCACTGAAATTGAAACTATGATTTAAAATCTTACAGCAGACAAAAGCCTGGGACCAGATGGCTTCGCAGGCAAGTTCTATCAAACATTTAGAGAAGAGCTGATACCTATCCTTCTCAAACTCTTCCAAAATATAAGAGGGAAGAACACTCCCAAACTTATTCTACAAAGCCACCATCACCCTGGTATGAAAACCAGACAAAGATATCACAAAGAAAGAAAACTACAGGCCAATATCACTGATGAACAAAGATGCAAAAATCCTCAACAAAATACCAGCAAACAGAATCCAACAGCACATTTAAAGGATCATACATCATGATCAAGTGGGGTTTATTCCAGGAATGCAACAATTCTTCAATATATGCAAATCAGTCAATGTGATAAAGCATATTAACAAATTGAAGGAGAAAAGCCATAGGATCATCTCAATAGATGCAGAAGTTTTCAACAAAATTCAACACCCATTTTTTGATAAAAACCCTCCAGAAAGTAGGCATGTAGGGAACTTACCTCAACATAATAAAGGCCATTTATGACAAACCCACAGCCAACATTGTTCTCAATGGTGAAAAACTGAAACCATTTCCACTAATATCAGGGACAAGACAAGGTTGCTCACTGTCACCACTATTATTCAATATAGTTTTGGAAGTTTTAGCCACAGCAATCAGAGAAGAAAAAGTAAAAGGAATCCAAATCGGAAAGGAGGAAGTAAAACTGTCACTGCAGATGACATGATACTATACATACAGAATCCTAAAGATGCCACCAGAAAACTACTAGAGCTAATCAATGAATCTGGTGAAGTAGCAGGATACAAAATTAATGCACAGAAATCTCTTTCATTCCTATACCCTAATGATGAAAAATCTGAAAGAGAAATTAAGAAAACTTTCCCATTTACCACTGCAACAAAAAGAATGAAATACATAGGAATAAACCTACCAAAGGAGACAAAAGATCTGTATGCAGAAAACTATAAGACACTGATGAAAGAAATTAAAGATGATCAAACAGATGGAGAGATATACCATGTTCTTGGATTGGAAGAATCAACATTGTGAAAATGACTGTACTACCCACAGCAATCTACAGATTCAGTGCAATCCCTATCAAACTACCACTGGCATTTTTCACAGCACTAGAACAAAAAAATTTCACAATTTGTATGGAAACATGAAAGACCCCAAAGAGCCAAAGCAATCTTGAGAAAGAAAAACAGAGCTGGAAGAATCAGGCTCCCTGACTTCAAACTATACTACAAAGCTACAGTAATGAGGACAGTATGGTACTGGCACAAAAACAGAAATATAGATCAATGGAACAGGATAGAAAGCCCAGAGATAAACCCACACACGTATGGTCACCTTATCTTTGATAAAGGGGGCAAGAATATACAATGGAGAAAAGACAGCCTCTTCAGTAAGTGGTGCTGGGAAAACTGGACAGCTACGTGTAAAAGAATGAAATTAGAACACTCCTTAACACCATACACAAAAATAAACTTCAAATGGATTAAAGACCTAAATGTAAGGCCAGACACTATAAAACTCTTAGAGGAAAACATAGGTAGAACACTCTGCGATATAAATCACAGCAAGATCCTTTTTGGCCCACCTCCTAGAGAAATGGAAATAAAAACAAAAATTAAAAAACAGGACTTAATGAAACTTAAAAGCTTTTGCACAGCAAAGGAAACCATAAAGAAGATGAAAAGACAACCCTCAGAATGGGAGAAAATATTTGCAAACGAAGCAACTGACAAAGGATTAATCTCCAAAATATACAAGCAGCCCATGTAGCTCAGTATCAAAAAAACAAACAGCCCAATCCAAAAATGGGCAGAAGACCTAAATAGACATTTCTCCAAAGAAGATATACAGATTGCCTTCAAACACATGAAAGGATGTTCAGCATCACTAATCATGAGAGAAATGCAAATCAAAACTACAATGAGGTATTGCCTCACACCAGTCAGAATGGCCATCATCAAAAAATCTACAAACAATAAATGCTGGAGAGGGTGTGGAAAAAAGGGAACCCTCTTGCACTGTTGGTGGGAATGTAAATTGATACAGCCGCTATGGAGAACAGTATGGAGGTTCCTCAAAAAACTAAAAATAGAATTACCATATGACCCAGCAATCCCACTACTGGGCATATACCCTGAGAAAACCATAATTCAGAAAGAGTCATGTACCACAATGTTCATTTCGGCTCTATTTACAATAGCAAGGACATGGAAGCAACCTAAATGCCCATTGACAGATGAATGGATAAAGAAGATGTGGCTCATATATACAATGGAATATTACTCAGCCATAAAAAGAAACAAAATTGAGTTATTTGTAGCGAGGTGGATGGACCCAGAGACTGTCATACAGAGTGAAGTAAGTCAGAAAGAGAAAAACAAATACCGTATGCTAACACATATACATGGAATCTAAAAAAAAAAGAAAAAAAATGGTTCTGAAGAACCTAGGGGCAGGACAGGAATGAAGACACAGACATAGAGAATGGACTTGAGGAAACAGGGAGTGGGAAGGGTAAGCTGGGACGAAGTGAGAGAGTGGCATGGACATATATACACTCCCAAATGTAAAATAGCTAGCTAGTGGGAAGCAGCTGCATAGCACAGGGAGATCAGCCTGGTGCTTTTTGTCCACCTAGAGGGGTGGGATAGGGAGGGTGGGAGGGAGATGCCAGAGGGAGGAGATATGGGGATGTATGTATAGGTATAGCTGATTCACTTTGTTATACAGTAGAAACTAACACACCATTGTAAAGCAATTATGCTGTAATAAAGATGTTAAAAAAAAAAACAGGGACTGAAAAATAAATAAATTTCAAGCAAAAGTATAGAAGCAAATAGGGATGAATTTTTATCTTCTCATCTGATGCATAAAAGCAGTAGGAATCCTAAAGGAAAGGGAAACTTCCCTGATCCTTTGACCAATTAAAATTAACCGATTTGTCCTGACACATGCTACACAATGTATGAAGCTTGAAGACATTATGCTAAGCGAAATAAGCCATGGTCACCATTCCACAGCTAACCTGATTTTCTCTGGCTTCACTAGGGCAGTCACATGGCATTCCTCATTTTACCTGGCTGAGACTTATTTTAATTCTAGATTTATAAAAAAGTTTTTCACATAATTCTCATAAAAAAGCATATATTTATTCATTCATTTTAGAGAAAACAAATTCACTGACTTATTTTGATAATAGTTATTTAGCAAAAGAATATTTAAAATATAAAATTAGAGTTGACACCCCTCCTTAAAAAGTATTCGCTTCAGCTAAACATCAGCTTGAAAATGTAAAATGTTAAAACAAAAAAAAGTGGGTGTGTGTAAATAGTGTATGTGTCCTAAACCTGAACGTATCAGAGTTGAAAGGGAATGTGTGTCAAAATAACATTTGAGGTTTGTGAATCTTTGAACTCCTTGTGGTTTTGCTACTGGTCTGTAAAATGGAACTAACTACTGCACGAGGTTGTTGCAAAACTCAGACAATGTATTTATAAAGTTTAAGATGTGAAGTAGTGTATTACAGTTACTTCATCAATTATTTAAGAGGCTCTATTTAATATACTCCACATGAGTTGTCTAATTTAAGTCCATTTTATTTCCATGCTTACTACTTACAGCTCAAATTTGTGTTTGTATTCTAAAAGTCAACACCCTTTATGTTAAAAACCTGTATTTTCTTTGATATAGGTATGATGAGTACCTTCTGAGTCTCAGGATGGTGGGAATTAGCCAGTGGATTGCAGGCATGTTGTGGAAGTTGCTGATGAGATCCCAGCCCTGCAGGCTCTGTTCTTTCAGAAAGATGCTATCAGCTCCAAAATACACACCTTTTCTAGCATCCTTCACCTATACAACTGATAATCAGTCAAATAGAGAAAATAAAAAGACAGTAGAAAAGCTCTATAAATTGTCAGTTGACATCAGGAAAATTCGAAGATTAAAAGGATGGGTACTTCTGGAGGATGAAACCTATGTTGAAGAAATTGCAAATATTTTACAACAGCTAGGTGCCGATGAGACTGCTGTAGCCAGTATTTTGGAACACTGCCCAGAAGCAATTATCTGCAGTCCACCTGCTGTTAACACCCAGAGAGAACTCTGGCAGTCGGTTTGCAAGAACGAGAAAGAGTTAGTTAAGTTAATAGAACAGTTTCCAGAATCTTTCTTTACTGTTCAAGACCAGGAAAACCGGAAGCTGAATGTTCAATTCTTTCAAGAGTTGGGATTCAAAAATGTGGTCATTAGTAGATTTCTGACAACTGCATCTAATATTTTTCACACTCCTATTGAGAAGAATAAGCAAATGATAAATGTTCTTCAAGAGAGTTATCTAAATTTAGGTGGCTCTGAGGTCAACATGAAAGTTTGGCTACTAAAATTATTAAGCCAAAACCCATTTATTTTGTTAAATTCTTCTGCATCTATAAAGGAAACACTAGAATTTCTCCAGGAGCAGGGTTTTACAAACTTTGAAATTCTCCAACTTCTCTCCAAACTCAAAGGATTTCTGTTTCAACTTTGCCCAAGAAGTATACAAAACAGTATGTCCTTCTCTAAAAATGCTTTTAAATGTACTGATCATGACCTGAAGCAATTAGTTTTGAAATGTCCTGCCCTTTTATATTATTCCGTTCCAGTTTTGGAAGAGAGAATTCAGGGATTATTGAAAGAAGGAATTTCCATAGCTCAGATAAGAGAGACGCCAAAGGTTCTTGAATTAACGCCACAAATAGTACAGTACAGGGTAAGGAAATTGAATTCCTTAGGCTATAGAATAAAGGATGGATATCTAGCAAATCTAAATGGAACAAAAAAAGAGTTTGAGGCTAACTTTGGTAAAATTCAGGCCAAAAAAGGAAGGCCATTATTTAATCCTGTGGCACCATTAAATGTTGAAGAGTAACTTGCTGACTGACGCGTCTTTCTATCAGTGCCGAGTAAAACCAAGTAGCAAAACCGTGATTCAGGCATACTGTGGGCACCAGTAATTTTAAGAACCTACTTAGCTTCTGAGTTGTGTTTAAATGACCTCTAAGTAGAAAATCTCTCACTCAATTGCTGTACTTAAAAATATAAATTGCATTTATTTTAAATAAGGTTTGTAATTTTGACCTTGGGCTATTTCAAAAAACTATTAAATGGTCTATCAGTGTGATATTTTATAAGTGAGTAATTTCTAAGAAACTGACAAGTGCACTCCATTCAAAGTATGGATACATTTTTACTCATATAGCACATTTCACCTGGGATGCAGACCCAGCCTTCTTTCTCACCACCAGCTCTGAAACATCACTCTACTATGGTGTGAATTCTGTAGCTTAGTGTTTAGTGAAACATTAGCAAACTTCTAATACATTTTTGTGGAGAAAGTTGATTTCATCTCCAGGTTGGAATAAGGGAGTATCTTTGAGAACCAAGTATTGCCCATCAAAAGGAATAATTAGAGCTTATTTGTGTGGTTTAAAATTGACTGTTTTATGTCATGAAACACTTTTACGTACATTTATTACTTTCCCCTTTTTACGTTGAGGAAACAAGCTTAGAGAGCCATCCAGCTGCCACATGCCAGAGCCCAGATTTACTAATCTCTCTCTTCTGTTCAAACCTTGTGAACAGAAAAAGGATTGCTTATGAGTTGGCATAAGAAAAGTCACTCCTACCTGACATGCTAAAAGAGTACCAACTACAAATTTAGGGATTTTTATGAAAACATCTCTGTAAAATTCCTTAAATTTGAAATGATCTAATTTGTATAAACTTTCTGAAAATCCAGGTCTGACTGTAAAGTATGAAAGGTAAAGTGTGTGATGGTTGATACTGATTTTAGTTAGGTTTCAAGTTTCTATTTCTAAACTTTGTTCCAAGATAAATATTATGCAAATAAAGACTGGCTCACTTTCAGCTGTGGAGTCTGAACTCTGTAACAAATACACAAACAATTGACTCTTGACACTCAAACATCTGCGCTATGTGATGTGTGCATGGCCTTAAGTGATGAAAAAATTATGAAAAACGCAGGCCACGTCTTCACTCTATTCCTTCATTCAGCAAATGCAGGTAATTCTCACTCTCCCAATCTGTTCAGTTCCTTAGTTAGGAAAGCGAAAGGTATCTCTGTGCAGCACCTACTAAGTGCTGGGCATGTTGTGCTTTACAACTCTAAGAGCTGAGTACCACTGTTTATTGTTTTAACAGATGAGGACATTCAGGCACAGAGAGGGTAAGTCACTTACTCAAAGTCACACAGAAATGTCTGTTCAAGAGAAAGCATGGCAGCCAGTATAGTCGGGGCAGAGTTAAGTGATGGGAAGAGTGACACAAGATGAGCTTCACAGGTCCATCTAAGGAACAGGATCTCATTCTAAATGTGATGGGAAACTCTTTGGCAGATTTTAGTTTATGCTGATGAAATTATCAGCAGTGCTTTCACCCTCAAAAGTATCTCAGTTTGGAATACATTATACATTATATGGTCATCTTGGTAGTTCTCTGTTAGATGTCAATTTTGAGATGCCTACAAGAATCTGAGCAGAGATTTCAAATAGAAAAATGGTGAAGTCTGGAGTAGTGAGAAATCAGGACTGGAGATACAGATAATCAGGGATCATCTGCATATCTATGGTATTTGAAGCTATAGCTCTAGGTGAGACTGCCAGAAAGAAGACAGATTTGGAGTAGTGGCTGACCAAGCCTAGAAAGGACTGACCAGAGTAAGTCTGCCAAGAAAAGAGGGCATTTTCAATAATATTGAATACCATGGGGAGGTCAACTAAGATAAGGAGAAGTGACTAGTGGATCTGGCTAAAGGGAAACCATTGGTTGGCCCTATCAAGAGTGATTCTGGGGGATTCCCTGGTGGTGCACTGGTTAAGAATCTGCCTGCCAATGCAGGGGACACAGGTTTGCGCCCTGGTCCAGGAAGATCCCACATGCTGCAGAGCAACTAAGGCTGTGCGCCACAACTACTGAGCCTGCCACGAGCTCATGAGCCACAGCTACTGGAGCCCACGTGCCTAGAGCCCATGCTCTGCAACAAAAGCCACCGCAATGAGAAGCCCACATACTGCAACAAGAGTAGCCCCCACTCACTGCAACTAGAGAAAGCCCACGCACAGCAACGAGGACCCAATTCAGCCAAAAATAAATAAATGATTTTTTTTAAAAAAGTAATTCTGGTGGAATGAGAAAGGTAAGAAGGCAGCTGGAGTGGGTTGAAAGAATAGGAGATGAGGGCTTCCCTGGTGGTGCAGTGGCTAAGAATCCGCCTGCCAATGCAGGAGACATGGGTCAGAGCCCTGGTCCAGGAAGATCCCACGTGCTGCGGAGCAACTAAGCCTAAGCGCCACAACTACTGAGCCTGCGCTCTAGAGCCTACAAGCCACAACTACTGAGCCAATACGTCGCAACTACTGAAGCCTGCGTGCCTAGAGCCCATGTTCTGCAACCAGAGAAGCCACCGCAATGAAACCTGCGCACTGCAATGAAGAGTAGCCCCCGCTCGCTGCAACCAGAGGAAGACCGTACGTATCAACAAAGACCCAATGCAGCCTAAATAAATAAATATATTTAAAAAAGAATAGATGAGGAAGAGTCAGGGACTATATAGTTTTTCAAGAAGTTTTGCTGCAAAAGGAAGCAGAAAAATGGAGATTATGAGATTTTTTTCTTTAAAGAAATGTGGAAAATGTTTATATGCCGATGGGTATGACCCAAGGAGAGACAGATGGATGAGATGGAAAATTAATTTTAAGGATTAATATCCTTGAGAAAGTGAAGGTGGACTGACTTCAGATAAGAGCAGAGCTACTAGTCCTGGTCCACAGAGCATGGGAACAGATGCAGGCAGGTTGATAGAGTATGCATTGTGAGAGGCAGGAGTCTTGCTGTCTGGTTGCCTCTTTTTACTGAGAGATTTAGAATGGGAGGAGGGGAGTATAGCAGGAGAGATGGAAAGAGGAGGTATGAAATAGTCACTTTGAGGAGTAGGAAAGTAAACAAACATGAAGGTATATAAGAAAGTTTAGCAGAGTTGAGTGGCCGTGTGTGCTTTGTGGCCAATTAATTTAAGAAGAGCTTTGTCAGTACAGCAGCAAATGGGGCAGTTATGGTTACAGAAATGCATTTGTAGTTTACTCTAACTTGAAAAGTTTAAACTAAAAAAATCCACATTCATGGTCAAACATGCAGTATACTGACCTGTCCTTTGGACCAAATCCTAGTCCGTTATCTTTTAGCCCTTGTACCTCTGCCTTTTTCTATTCTTGCATTCTTACTCAGATCTTCCTACAAATAAAATTTTAGATTTTCAAAATCAACAACGTAACAGGGGGAGATATTCTTACATAAAATCCTAGAGTCAAATTTCATTTCCTCTGGGAAAAAAAGGCTATAACAAAATACATGATTTCCTTTAAACAGTTTATGTATAAATTCATATCTGTGGCAAAACGTAATTATCTGCCAAAGTAAATATGATCACCCAGAAGGCTTCCAGTGAGCTCAAATCAGACAGCCTGGTAAATCAAGCATACAGGTAGTACTAATGCCAGCAGCGGAATGAAGGACTAGCTACTGAGTAGTCCCCTTTGTTTCTGGACGTAAGATGGAGAGGTTCTGACTTACATGAATTCAAAAGTGTTACAGGAAATTCAACTAACACTGGAACTGTGCTTGATCCATATTTGTAAACAGGGAATAAAGATACTTCTCATAAGGTCCTGATACTGATTAAATCAGAGAATTTATGGACAGTGCCTGGTAGGTAAGTAGATGCCCAGTAAATATCAATTTCCTTCCTTCCTCCAACTGGTTCCCATCCCTTTGAGTCACTTCTGGCCAGTAAGAGGTCTAAGTTGGTTCCACAGCTGCTTAGGACAGAGGGAAGTGTGCTCCCTACTTTATAATTCCTCCATCAGTTCCCAAATTTTAGACTGCAAAAGAATCACCTGCAGAGGTTGTTAAAGTGCAGTCTTGGATCCCACCCTGCAGAGATTCAGCAAGTTGCAGTCAAACCCAGAAATCTGCACTTTTAACCTTTATTAGAGTTGTTTAAAATATATTTGTATTTCATTGTTGTGTTGGCATCAAAATTCATATTTGGAGATGTTCTGTCATGTTTGTGCATTAGTATCAAAAAATTTAAAAACTGGCTACAGTACTTTCTGAATTTCTATATAACTAAAATTTTAAGACTACCCTGTTTTAAAATTTCCTTTATTTCCTTAGATCTTTATGAAACAGTTCATCTTTTGCAGATCATAGTGCTTTATTAAAGATTCATGTCTTCTTTTCCCATTCCTTTAATACAAAAAAATTTATTCAATCATCAGTTATTTTCATCTGACATTTCACTAAGTACAGGATTCATAACGTCAACATTATTAGATCAGTCATTCAAGTGGGTCACACAAGTTTATCCTCATTGTGCTGAATACCCACTCAGAAGATAAGCTGAATAACAGATGCCTCCAGGTGTATACAACAACCTTATTAGCTTCTTGAAGTGAACTAGTACTGTTTAACAGGTCAAACTGCTAGTCTACGAAATAAACTGAAAAAGACTCAAGTGTACAGCTTTACATATCATCAAATGGCAAGTTCATTTCAACAAGAAGGTCTACAACTAACTTCATTTGTACAAGTTCTCTGCTATCATTGCAAAGCCTCTCCTGAACAAAGTTATAATTTAAAATTTAAAAAAAAACTTGATGAGATAAAATGTACCACGTGGCTTTTCTGTAGCGGAAATTAATTACAACCATTTTTCCTCAAGCAATTTTAAAGACAAGCAAAGTTGAAAATAAATATTCAAGCATACAGTAAACTAAAGTCTATATTTAGAAATTCAGGTACAAAGCAGAGCCGATGAAGATAAGAAGATAATTTAGAAATATAAGCTAGCAATGAAGCAATAATTTCTTTCAAATAGCAGGAAACAAATTCTCCAATACCATTACTTAGATCATTATTTAGTGTTCATCCATTAATTTTGTTTTTTTTTTAAATCCCCTTTGCTAATTATGACATTTGCCCAGATATACCAACAAATATACCTTTAATCATACTGGATGAAATACACAATTTAATTTTTGATTAACTCCCTAATGACTTTCCAGTTTTGTATATGGTAGAAAGGTTCAAGAACCTTTATGGATTTACCTCAGTCCCTCTTGGTATTTATGAAAGCTTTTAAAAGCTATTTAAAAGCTAAGTTTTGTTCTTACCCATTTGTTGATCCACATTATTAATGTAAAACTCTTAGTGGGTTGCAAACAAACACATAAGCTTTGGGTGTTAGAGTGATCTAAGTTCTCAGGAATGCTGTTCTGACTTACTCCAGAGCATCACCTCCTTTCTTCCCCTTGCTCATTAAAAAAAAAAAAAAAAAAAGTCTGCAGAATGGTGGCAAATTTCCAAACTTAAGGAAAATTAAGATTTTTCAGGCTGGGATTAAACCCTTAGTTAAGAGAAATGCCACTTTTAAAATTTTTATGAAACTGAACATGAAAACAAAAAAAAGATGAATTCGGGCTTCCCTGGTGGCACAGTGGTTGGGAGTCCGCCTGCCGATGCAGGGGACACGGGTTCATGCCCCGGTCCGGGAAGATCCCACATGCCGCAGAGCAGCTGGGCCCGTGAGCCATGGCCGCTGAGCCTGCGCGTCCTGAGCCTGTGCGTCTGGAACCTGTGCTCCGCAACAGGAGAGGCCGCGGCAGTGAGAGGCCCGCATACCGAAAAAAAAAAAAAAAGATGAATTCCAGCTAAGTCATATTCTTTTAGAATGAATGAGACATGATGAGACGTTAATGAGACACAACACACTTATCATCCATAACCAAAAAATTCAATTTCCTGCCTGAAGTTGACTTGGAAAATGGTACAAAGCTTACAGTTGCTTTAAAGGAGTGTAAGATGACATTTTAAAAGCCTGTCAAACAGAAATCAGTTACATATATTTTACATTCAAAACTAATCTATGGAGCCCATTCCGTTCAATTTAAGAGTCAGCCCCCACACATCTGTGGCTGCTTTTACTGTGTTTTTTGAAAGGGGTACTGCTAGTAATTTAAGCCATCCTGGAGACAAAATAGGTGTGAAGAATTTTTTATATCTTGGATGCTTTATGTAATTCTTAAGAACTTAAAATGATTTATGTTTTCCTCCTTAATATGAAACTCTTTTATTAACATAGCTTCTGACCAGCAAAGAAATGTTCCTTAGGCACTGTGAGGTTTATTAATGATGGAGCATGAACCCAGTTTGAAGTGTACAATTTGGTTATAACTACTAACAGTTATCAAACACTATCCTAATCTGCTGAGAGCAAGAAATGCCTTTATGTCACTAATCCTGAGATTCTTGAGGGAAAACTAATTTCACAAACAACTTTTGAAAGAATCCATATATAATAATAATCCTAAGAACTGCACATATTCAGGGTATTAGAAAAGATGTTTTCTTTTGTAAGGCATCAATGATTAATATAATGCCTATCTAAAAAAAGATGGTTAATACTCATAAAACCATGAATCTTTTCTTTTAAACTTCTCTAGTTCCTGCTATTTTTACCATCTTAAAAAAGAAAAGAATGCCTCTTCGTCTAATCAACTATGGTTATTAAAAAAACTAAGACATCTGAAACTATTAGGCACATCAAAGGTACATTTATGTAGGTCAAGGTTCCCTTCTTAAGGGGCAGATGAGTTACCTGGCACATTATACATATGGAACTGTAAAGATCATCCACTAAATTCAACTTTCACATTTTTGAACTGAAAGACTTATGTAGTAAATATTCAAATATACCTTATCTTCAGTTACAACTGAATAAGTGTAACATTTTACCAGATAAAAAGCTGGAATTTAAGTATGAGAAACCTTCATACACTGTGCTAGTATTGGTCTCTTCCTTTAAGACAAAAGCCAGTCAGTCATCAATACTTTCAACACAGCAGTTAGAAGATAAACGTCCAAAACAGGTGACTTGGTTGTAGTCTGTAATTTAGCAATTCAATGCCACTGGCATCATAATGCTGTGGAGAGCAAGTGTATCTCCATATTTTAGTCAGATTTGTCTTTCTTCTTTCCTGTTAAGGGCACTTTGTTTACAACAGCAGAGCCAACAGCTGTAACACCTCCAGCCACAGCAGACATGCCCCCTTTCACCAGCCCTATTCCCATGGAAGGCACAGTTGTAACAGCTGTTTTGGTCACCTCCAGACTCTTTCCACCAATCCAAGCCACACCACCAATGGTAGCACCAACGGCTCCCTTTGTAACACTGAAGATACCCCCAGTCACACGGGACAGCATGCCTGGTTGCTGCTGTGGGTGATCTTTCATTGAACCTAATAAGAGAAAATATCATAAGACAGTCAAATGTAAGTCTTTATAAGAACAGTACAAATCACTGAGTAACCTTCCTAACAACCAGCAGATTGTATTGAAAAGGTCAACCACATAAATACATATCTGATCAAGACATCAAGAGCTCTTCCCTCAAGGGTATAGTTGTACATGTTTTTAAAACATCTTGGTCCAATGCTAAGTCTTAGTATCTATGAGAAGAAATGCTTTAGAGACTAGACAACTTTCATAAAATAGAAGACTATTTTAAATGTCTCCTTGATTTACAGTTTTATTGCTGTTAATAAAAACATCTTTATTTTATATCCTAAAAGGAGCATGAAAAAATTAAAAGATAAATATATTTAGCCCTTATTTCCTTGATAGAATTCAATCAGTCATTACTGAAACAACCTTCTTCATTTAAAGCACTGGTTCTCAGGTATCATCTGGAACCCTTGAGTATCCCCAGGACCATTTCGGGGTAAAAACTGCTTTCATAATAATATTAACATGTCATTTGTCTTTCACTTTCATTCTGTCACCAGTCTAAAACAGAATTTTCCAGAAGCTAAATGATGGGCAGTAACATAACAGACTAAACACAGAAGACTAAACTGTGAGAATCTAGCTCTCTTCTATTAATCCAAATATTAAAGAGATTTGCAAATATTTTAAAACAATGTCAGAAATTCTCTGGTGGTCCAGTGGTTAGGACTCTGCACTTTCACTGCCAAGGGCCTGGATTTGATCCCTGATTGGGAAACTAAGATCCCACAAGCCACACAGTATGACCACAAACAAACAAATCACCCTGCTCACAATTTTTTTGTTTTGGAAAATAGTTTCATATTTTTCAAAAAATATGTTAATATGTAATGGGCCTACTGAGTTCTTTTCATAATAAAATACTTAATTTCTGTTTTTATTGTTAATATGGCAAATATCAACAAAGACATAAGCTCTTTGGAATCCTCAATTTTTTTTAAAGTAGAAAGCATCCTGAGACAAAATAATTTGAGAACCACTAACTTAAATATATTTGGGTTTCTATTCTATGTACTCCTTAATAATGTATTTAAAGAGCTAATATTATATGTAAAAATAGGAAAATTATTCATCACTTAAAATCCTGTTACCTACATATAATCTTTTTTGTAACATGGAGAAACCAGAGCTATGGTTAATACTTCCACTGCCTCAGTAATTTTTATAAAAGAGAGTATGTGATTTAAGTATCTAGTTTGTAAAAACTCTTCATATACTCCCAGAAAAGGTAACATCAGTATGAGAAATTCAGATTTATTGTCACGAGTCTTTTCTCTTTGGTTTCTTTGTTTGTTTAATAGAGGCACTCAAACTGGCATGTAACCCCAAACTCCAGCATAAAATGACTAGCAGGAAGATTTCATAAAAATTTGCTTCTGCCAGCCTCAAACACACACAATCTTTTCTCCTTCATAATCTAATGACTCAGGCGGCGACAACACATGAGCAATAGTGTTATTATTTTTTTAAACTTCATGAAAAAATACTTGGTAACTATACAGTTCAGGCTATAACCACTAAAAAGGTATAATCTCACACAAGAAAGGTAAATTCTTGGGTATGTAAGTTCAACTAAGACACCCAAAGCTACTATAACCTAGCAGAATGTGGTTATCAGGGAAGGTAACATTGGAAAATCAACAATATTTGAAAGAGAAAAAAAATCTGAAAATTGAGTTTCTTTAAATACACAGACACAAATTTACCTTGAGTAAGATTTTCTTTTCACTGTTTGGGAGATTTTACATCCTTTCACAGGAAGAAAGTCTCATTGATTAGTCAAAATAGCTCACTGATGAAGATATAGCAATGGCTAAATTTATAAAACCAACTGTTTAATTGAAACTGAGTAATAAGCATAGTTAATATAAAATTTTAAAATAGCTGAAATAAAAGGCTTGAGACATAGATAAGCATTTGAATATATTAATTATAAAATTATGATGGAAAGGATTACATAAGTGGTCATTCTTTTGTAATCAAGCTTAGTTAACACTAGGAAAAGGGGGGAAAATCTTGATTTGAGGATAAAACAGATAACTACCTCATGCTGAATACCTCATTAGTATTATCCTGCTATGCCAAATTTGGTGTACATACATTTAATGAAGACAATTTTTCTTAGTGAAATCAGATAAATACTAATGCTGTTGATCTCTTAATTACAGTGTACTCTTTTTTTTTAAATTACAGTGTACTCTTAATTACCACCATATAAATTATCCACTTTGCAGACTACTTTTAACAGGTTGCCAATATAAAGACATCCTTGAGGCTGTTCTCTTCCTTAACAATCATGCTCCTGGACAGCCTTTATCTCTTTCCTGACTTATTTCTCTTAAGTCCTTCCTAACTTTCTCATTGAGCCCTAACTTTTCTTTTCAAAACTCTAGACTTCTAGTCCTTAAAAATAAAGGGAGAAAATAAAGAAAACAGCTAGTCTGTCTCTGTACATAGTGAGGACATGCATGTGTGCATTTAGTGTTTCCAAAGATTTTTGAAGGTAAGAATAAAATGATTCCTGATGTCACAATTTTCCCACCAAAAAATAAATTAAGCAGACTCTAAAACCATGTATTAAAAAAGAAAGAGTTACCCATTATAATGTAATGAATAACAGGAGTTTAACAACAAATCTCAAGGGCCTCTTGAAGTGAGTTTTCGTACGCATGACATAACCTAGTCCATCCTTCCTCTGCACTTCACCCAACTCTTTACAAGTGAAAGGATACTCGTGAAATGGTCTTAAAAGAATAAAAGAGTAGCAGAAAAATACTGGTAGACCTTATATAAAAGTTACATTGTGTCCCCATTTACCAATATCTATGCTTTCTTATTAAAAGCTAAAAATGTTTAAGTATTTTTGGAACACATTTACTGACAAGGAAAACAGGTTATGTTACTTTAAAGTTAATGAAAACAATCAGAAGTTTAATTCACTAGGATTTTTTTCATTCTTAGTATTACAGATGCATACTTACCTTCTGGTGGTTCATCACTAAGGTATGATGGGATTTCTTGTTGATTTTTATCTGTCTGATTCATGATCTCCTAAAAAACACACACATTTCATTTTAATTTCAACATCGGAGACTACCTCTTTTTATATGCTTGATCAAGACTTAACTTTATTCAGATAACATTTTACTTATCTTTTTTTTATTTTGGCTGAGCCGCACAACCAGGGATTGAACCCGGGCCACAGCAGTGAAAGTGCAGGATCCTAATTACTAGACCACCAGCAAACCCCTGATAAACAACATTTTTAAAACAACCATAACAAGACTACTTCACCTTGTCTGTCTCCTACTTTGTGGTGTTGGAGAAATACTTTCAATTATACTAGTGGACAACATAAATCTTATCTCAAATCAAGCAAAGATTGTCAGGCATGGTACAAGCTTTCCTATGTTGTTACTGCTGCTTCAACTTAAATTGAAAATTACCAACTGAAAGCAAGTTGGAAGGTGGGGGTTAGCAGCCAAAAATTTTAAGTGCCTCCTCCTACAGAATTTATTTCACAACAGACTCAAAGAAAAACCTATACTATGAACTAAAAAACATGTTCTATCTGAAAATTTCCTCAAAAACATGACATTCTTCTCCTATAAAGATGGCAGCACCAATCTGAATCACTAAGAGAAGGTTTTTGATTACTTTTTTTTTTTTGCCCCCGGTACGCGGGCCTCTCACTGTTGTGGCCTCTCCCGCTGCGGAGCAACAGGCTCCAGAGGCGCAGGCTCAGCGGCCATGGCTCATGGGCGCAGCCGCTCTGTGGCATGTGGGATCTTCCCGGACCAGGGCATGATCCTGTGTCCCCTGCGTCGGCAGGCGGACTCTCAACCACTGCGCCACCAGGGAAGCCCATGATTACTTTTTTATTGTTACTTTTAGAACTCGTATGAACAGAAGTAGCAAAATAATTCAAAATCTACTATAAAAAAAAATATATATATATATATATATATACCACAGACTACGTCTAAGTACAAGTAATAATGGAAACTAAGAAATAAAATAAGCTATGTTGGGATGAAGAACACATAAACTTTCTTTTCCCAATCTCCTTACTATCTTAAAATATTTGATTTTATATTCCATTGACTAAGTAAAGACTAAAACAAGTCAAGATTGGTCTAAAAGCTTTCTTGCTTGGCCAGAAAACTAGGGTTGTGATCCCAGTAGTCAACTAAGTATTTCTTAGTCATAAAACCATGAAGCCTAAATTATTGTATCTGTACATATATAATACAACAGATTTTTAAAGGATATTGTAAAATCCTGCCATCTGCAAAATAACATGGATGAACCTTGAGGACATTATGCTAAGTGAAATGTCAGACACAGAAAGACAAATACTATATTATGTCACTTATATATATGGTATCTAAAAAGGCCAAACTCATAGAAAGGTGGTTGCACGGGGCAGGGGGTGTGGGGTAGGGGAAATAAGACATTGGTCAAAGGGTACAAGCTTCCTGTTACAAGAGGAATAAGTTCTGAGGACCTAATGCACAGCATGATGACTATAGTTAAAACTACTGTATTGTATACTTGAAAGTTGCTACAAGTAGATCTTACAATGTTCTCACCATAACAACAAAAGTAATTATATGAGTTGAAGGATGTGTTAACTAACCTTAATCTGGTAAACATTCTGCAATATATATGTGTATCAAACCATTACATTATACACCTTAAACTTACACAATGCTGTATGTCAATTATATCTCAATAAAGCTGGGGAAAAAAAGAATATTGTGAAAACTACCAATGTACTTTAATACACTGATTAAAAATTTATTGAGTACCTACTAAGGGTCATGTTTTAGGTGCATGGGATATAGCTGTGATCAATACAGACCAAAAAAATCTCTGCCATCATGAACATTCCATATTGGCTAGTGGGGAAGACAATAAATACATATTCAAAGAATATACTGTATATCAGATGGTGTTAAATGCTATGGAGAAAAAGGCATGAAGGGAAAGA